CTCTTTCCCACAAATCATTATTCTGACTCTGTGACACCCTTCTTTATATTCATCTAAAACATATTTCAGCAAAAACTGATTTTTAAATAAAGTATACTCAACATCATTTTCTCATTCTAGCTAGTATAAGGAGTAAAACAGGAAAGAAATGGATCTCAAAAATACTTTTATGTTTTAATCTGAATACGATCTTGTTAAACCTATTTTTGTCATTGCTCATACTGTGCTTGTAAAAGTGGCCCTTTATCAGACATATTAGGATAAAGGCTATGTTTCCTATTTGCATCAAGAATAACGAGGAAAACGTTTTTTTAAGATGAAGGATTGTAAATATGGCACACTTTACTCTTGTCATTGTGGGCTTGATCCTGGAGTTCACGGACTTCCAAGTTATTACTTACATTGAGGTACACGCACGAGATTCCAGGAGATTCCCATATATCACTAGGAAGATCATTCGGTGTTTTCACCTGGATGATTTTGTATCGTCCTCTCTAAGTTCTGCAGTTTACTATGTTCTCAAATGGAAACTATTATTTCTTTCATCTTTCAGAAATAAGGTGCTCTTCTGCATAACTACCACTCCTTGCTGCTGAAAACTGGATCCTTAGTTGTTGCTAAACAGATTTTTGTGCAAAGACAATATGGACAGTAACAAACAAATATTTTTTGATTTTTAGATACTTTGCATTTTTAGAAGGAGCAGAGGTAAAAAAGAAAATTGATGCACTAGGGGGGAAAAATACCTCCTTAGAGGAGTAAATATGCTGTTTGGTTTATATGAAGTGTTATTAGGAAGCTGGATTTAAATCAAACTTACTTCACTGGTGATTTAAATTGACTGAATCAATCTGCCCTGTTAGCAGAAGTAATAAAAGTAAAATGAATCATTGTTAAATGCCTGCTAAATGTTATTGTAGTTGGCTGTGTCATAGCAGCAGAGTATTAAGGTATTAGAAATTTCATAAAAATAAAAAATTAACACCCTGTGGTCATTCAGTAGAAAACCTATAATTTTTTCCATTGGATGGATACTAGAGTTCTAAGAACTGAGTTAGATATTTGAACAATTAAAGGCCATCTATAGCTTCAACTGAAATATATAGTAAATTCTGAAGTATACTACTGGTTAGTATTGGAGTTAGTACTGGATAGTATTGAGGTCAGTAGGTTTAAAAGGGTATTGCTCTGTGGGTGACCTTGGGCTGTTTTTTCAACCTAACCTATTTCACAGGGTGGTTTTGAAGACAGAAGTGGTGCTGCCCACATACACTGCCTTGAGCTCCTTGGAAGAAAGGCAGAATAAAATTTCAGAAATATTTTTAAAAGGGGGCAAGTGGGATTAAACAAAACACAAAATAGTTTCAAAGCGCCAAGTTCTCTTGAGATGGTTCTGCACTTTTAAACTAATTTGTGATTTATGTAATTTCCTCTGGAGACAAAGGGGGCTTGAAGTTTATTTATTCAAAAAAAATTTATGCTGCCTTTCCACCCAATCATGACTTATAAGACATCGGACATAAAAAAACATTAAAGCATTTGAGCAATTAAAATATAATTAAAATAGATAAATAATAAATCAGGAGAAATTACAGGAGGAGGAAGGAGGAAAGGCTACAGGGACTGTGAGAAGATAGAGAAGAACCAGAAGGGGGCATGAGGGGAAGGCAGCAACAGTGGAGGGATGAAGGCAACAGAAAAGAGGGAACAAGTGGTGTAACAGATGTGGGAAGAAGCAGAGAAAATGGTGGGATGGGCTGGCAAGGGGGAGGAAAACAGACATGATACAAGAAAAGGGGCCAGCAGCCCCCCCTCCCCACATGGGTCTTCTGACATTATTTGACATGGGTCTTCTTGACATTATCTAATACTGTAACGGTCTTGGATAAAAATCTTTGTACCAGACAGACGTATTGTGAGTGTGTAAAACCTTGTCTTTAAGAGCATTTCACTCATTCCCAAAGAAAAATACCTCATAGGTGCTTATTTTTTTTCAGTGCTCCCCAGCATTTGTGTGGGAGGAGTCTAGGGGGGATTCTGTGCTTTCCTTTCCCTCCTGATCATCCTGTTCACCCAGATATTCAGTTTCATTGCCTCCAAAAAGATGCTAAGACTCAAGCTTCTGAAAATGCCAAGTGAAAGAATTTCAAGGGCTGGAGCATAACCTTTTAGAGAATTTCTTTCCACAACTTGTTGCACCGAGTACATTTAAGAGATTGTGAGTTGCTGTCTGGAATCAAGGTTGGGACATATAGGAGGTGTTTAGGTATAAACCTAATATGCTAAAAGTACTGGTGAACAGGACAGCTTGGTTAAAGTCTGCTTTTGGAATTAATACCACAAAACTTTCGCATCTCCAGAAGAATATATTAGAATAAGTACAGAAAGAGTTCGTCTACTGATTAGCTTTCTGGTTGCTAACAGAAGATCAATAAAAAATAATGAACATCGCTATGAATATACCTTTTAATATTTCTCAATTTCCTTCACTGCAGATGATGCTACTGATGTTGGTGAAGAAGACAGCTTCCTTGGCCAGACTTCTGCAACTCCTAATCCCCCATCAACTTTCAGTTATTTCTCACAAGTTCCTAGCAGCAGTGATCCCTTTGGAAGCATTGGGCAGCCACCCTTAGGAGTAACAACCTCACCACAAAATGTAACATCTGTTTTCTCCAAGCCCCCTGTTTCTCTCCCTCTTCAACCCGGAACACAGGATGGGCCAAATGCTTTTCCAGCACCTATTTCGAAATCTCAGTCTTTTAACACACCACCTACTTCATTACCAGGCATTGGGTCCTATCAGACCCCCCAACAGACTGGCCCCCCTCCAACCAGCTTCACAACTCCGCCTCATGGCACACTGCAGCAAGGCTACAACCCATATCGCCACACCACTTTAAGCAGTAGAGCCAATCCTTATATTACTCCTCCACAGCTGCAACAGACTCAGATTCCAAGCCAGAATGTTCAGCCTCCAGCCTCTGTACCACCTATGCAGCTCTATCCAACACCTCCAGGGGCACTGCCACCGGTATGGAGATTGTTTTTTAACTGCTCAGCATTAATGTAAAACATTAAAGGTGCTGCACTGTGGTGCTTCACAATGCTGTAGTTCTTTCCCCTTTCTTCTTTCAATGCTTTCATTAAAATTTTAGGCAGTAGTTGGAAATATTAAACTCTGCTCCACCCATATTAAATCAAGAGGCTTATTAACATAGATGTCATAGCTTATCATTTGACCAATCAAATGAAAGTAAAGTCAAAGGCCACAGCCAACATGCCATCCTTGGAGCTGGTTTATTTATCTTCAGTAAACTGAAGAGTATGGCAGTGGTCAATTGTACTAGCACCTCTGGTAAATCTAGTTTGCTCTCATCCCAAAATAACTTCATCTTCTATCCATGATAATAATTTCTTATAAAGCAGGGAAGAATATAACTTGCCCACCACTGACAGCAGACTAATTTACAATAGCAACATGGATCCATTGGATCACCTTTTTTGTAGATGGGGGTTATTATTGCATGTTGCCAAAAGGTAGGCATGATACCTGTCTCGATAATCTGAGTAAAAATAGATGCCAAAATCTTGGTCCACAGCATTGACTTTAAATGTTTCCTGCCACCTATTTGCTTCTTCCTCAAAGCAAATGGCTAGTTTAGCTTTCCTCTATCCCACTGCAACAGGAAATGGATGCTTCAGAAGAACTCAGGAGGTGTCACCTTGATCTCTGCAAGGAGCACCCATTCAGAAACAGTTGCCTCCATTGTAGGAGGATGCTTGCCTTGATTGTACTCCATGGCAGCTACTTTTTATTTGGCCATGGTGCTCATAGTAGTGTCGCCCTCTCCTCATTCTCAGAATTCCAAAAATAGTCACAGGCTCAAGGGGACTCCTACTTTGTAATATTAATTGTTTAGAACAGCAAAAGAGACAGTTACGTTAACTACAGAATGATCTAATCGGAGACAGTAGTAGTCATTCTGTCCCAGAAACATTTGTAGAGGACCATGCTAGTCCACAGGGAAGTCCTTTCTCCCTGCAACAAATGTGGTGAACTCATAGTTATCTTTACTGCTGAGTTCTTGTGTGTGGGAGGAGCAGATTCTTAAAGTCTGGAAACAAAAAGATAATTTTGCATTGGTTTCTTTTCAGTTTTCATCACCTCAGTCAGCATTGTCACCTCAACCATCTGTGTTAGCAGGTGCTCTGGTGAAGGCACCTCCCACCTTGTTACATAATCAGTATGAGCCAGTTCAGCCTCATTGGTTTTTCTCCAAGGAGGTGGAAAACAAGGAGGTATGGATGCCATTCAGTGTCCTAGATTCTACAAATCTCGAGAAACTCTATAATTCTGGTAAGATTTGAGAAGGTCTTTCAATTTTCTGTGTGTGTGTGTGTGTTATGGCCATCTGGATTTGGTTGTAAAAAGAGATTGAACATCTTGTAAGTCCTAAAGGGGGGCAGAACCTATTTATACTTAAGAAAATGATTCACTTGTCCATGCTCATGCAGAGATTATTTTTTTTTAATTGGGAATGTTGTGTCTGGTGGATCTCACATTTGGAAATGAACATGACTGAAGGAAAATGCCATGGTCTGCATTTGCTTTGACAGCTGGTTCTTTGCTTCAGTCTTCCTTGCATGTTTCTTGTAGGCAGGCTGAAAAAAATTAGCATTGGAGATCAGGAGTAGAAAGGGCAGAGAGTCCACTCACGAGAGTAGCAGACATGACTTTGCTAATCATTGCAGAAAAACTTCAAATTAAAATTCCAAAGGAATTAATTCATAATGGAAAATACAAAGAGAAATTGAGCTCCATCTGAATCCATATTGCTAATTTTCCTCTGTCCCTGTCATATTATTTCTCCTGCTGCCTCTTTCTTCTATTTGGTATCTTCTAAGATTTCTTGTTCTGTCCATTTCCCAGTACTTGTAGTGCTATCCTTTCCAACAAGCTGTGTTTCAGAATATTGGTAGCCAGTTGAAACTAGCCGGAATTCTTGTCTGTGAACATGATAGTCTTTTTGAATGTACTTTTTGGATTCCAACCACCACCAGTAAACAGAGTGGAACAGCTGGGTAGACATGCAGTAGTAAATGCAGACATCTTTCCAAAAGGTTAGGTTTCCCAATAGCATCTTGGGTTCATCCTCAAAAGTTCACTGTAAAACTTGGAGGGTGGGATAGTGAGAAGGGATTCTGAAACAAACTTTCTACTTGTTTCTAATAAACTTATTAGTAATTTGGAAGGGAGCAGTTCATATTGCTATGGCAATAAAACATCATTTTGGCATTTGTAGTACAACCTGATCCAGAAAATGTGGTTCTAAGTACCGATGGAGGACGCTATGATGTTCACCTTTATGATCGGGTGAGGAAAGCTGTGTATTGGGAAGAAGAGCCATCTGAAGTGAGACGATGTACTTGGTTTTATAAAGGAGACAAAGATAGCTGGTTTATTCCTTACACAGAGGATTTCAGTGAAAAGCTAGAGGTGAGTGTCCTTAAATAAGCAGAGCAATGTATACATTTTTATAACTCACTGAAAAAAAAGACTTAAAGATTTCAATTTCATGAAAGATAAAATTGAAACTACTCAGCTGTGGACTGTTGATTGTATGTGTGACAGTGACCTGGTAATAGTTACAAAAATTCCTCCCTATGCTATTTTGTAAAGCCAAAATAAATACTTTCAGAGTCCACAAGTGTTAAGAAGAGTGATACATGCTTAATATTCAGCCCTCATAAGCCTGATGAAAGTATCCAAGGGTAGAGTGCTGTGCTCTGCCTACCTTTGCTGTTAACCCTAAAAACACTTGTCATTTGATATCTGAGGTTTGACTTTTTTAGAACAATCTGTTGCAGTCAGGTGAAATGGTGACCTTGAATGCAGCATCTAAATTCAAAAGCAAGTTTGTCGTGTAATGCAGCTGGTCTTCCTTTGCAGGCAGAATATAAGAAAGCTGTCACCACTAATCAGTGGCATCGCCGACTGGAATTTCCAGGTGGAGAAACCATTGTTATGCATAATCCTAAGGTAATGATGGTTGTAATGGCTTCCTTCTCATTGCAGAGTAACCTTACAAGGGTGGATGTGAGAGTGCATAACTTATTCTTAAACATAGTCTTGTTTGAATTGTCAAAATGCCCTCAGTAATTGTGTTTTGACCATGACATTTCGTGGAAAGGTAAGAACTCTTAGAAATTCTGCACTGCACTCATAGTTTCCTATCTTAAAGGATTTAGCACCAAGCAGGAATTTGTTACTGTATCAAAAGACAATGTCATTCATTCATAAATAGCAGTTACTTTCAGGCTGTCATATGGATGCAAATTTCAGTGTAATGCATTTTGTTGGCAGCGCAGCCAGTTTGGTGTAGTGGTTAAGTGTGCGGACTCTTAATTCCCCACTCCTCCACTTGCACCTGCTGATGTGACCTTGGGTCAGTCACAAGCTCTGGCACAGCTGTTCCTGAAAGAGCAGTTTGTGTCAGAGTTCTCTCAGCCCCACCCACCTCACAGGGTGTCTGTTGTGGGGAGGGGAAGGGAAAGGAGTTTGTAAGTCGCTCTGAGACTCCAAGTGAAGGGCGGGATATAAATCCAATCTCTTCTTCTTCTTCTTGAATGATAGAACTGAATGTTGCTGTCACACCAGTCAATAATTCAGCCTTTGAAGGGTCTCTTGAGTCAGGTATATGACAACTGCTAAATCAGGCTTTGTTGAGTCATCTAGTTGTTGGCTCCCCATCACCCATTTTAGGACAGTTCTAATAATTCGTGCATGCTTTCAAATTAAAAGGCTTATAAAGGGCTTGAGAGTATGTTTGTTCAAATGCTGATATTTTTTTACAGGTTATTGTTCAGTTCCAGCCTTCTTCAATACCAGATGAATGGGGTACCACACAAGATGGTCAGACAAGACCAAGAGTAGTAAAACGTGGGATTGATGATGATCATGATGAAATTCCAGATGGTGAGTGGACTGAATTTTTAAGCACAGACCCCTCTTCTCTTGTCATTACCTCTTTGTAGTATTCTTTGATGGGGCTAGGAAACAGAGTAGGGCTTGTATTCCACAGGTTCTAACTGTAGCCATGTCTGATCCAGATTTCTTAGGTTGTGTTGTGTTTTTTTGGAAAAGGGGTGGGGTTTTTTGGTGGGGTTGGATTAATGGAATAGCTTCCTCCTTTTTTCAAGGATTTTGTTTAGTTGCTGTTTTGCTGAGGACCTTTCTTGAATGCCTTAGACAGGATATGCATCCACATGTTCTCATACATCATTCTTCCGTTGTCATCTAGGGTAGTAATGAAGATGTATCACTTTACAAAATGGCTCTTTTTGTGGATTAATGAGATGCTGCTGCTAATTTTCATTCTTACAGGTGAAGTGTCTCAAATTGACCACTTGGTGTTCATGGTGCATGGCATTGGCCCTGTTTGTGACCTACGATTTAGAAGCATTGTTGAATGTGGTAGGTTTTTAATACTAATAGATTTATATAATTTTATACGATAGCTCTATTAGATTGTTCAGGTTAACCCTCACTGTTTCTATCCAGGTTTTTTCCTTTCAAAGTGAGAGTAATACTATCAGTGGCATAGTGTGCATGCGTGCGCATGCATGTGTGTGAGCCCTTGGGGCGAACTACACAGTGTAGTTACAAGCAGTGGCCATTCTACATGACAACGTGTGTCACATCAAAAAAGAATCTTTTAAAAATCTGAATAAAAATGGAGGGGAAAGGAATGGATGGCTGAATTTTTGGAGGGTAACAGGGAAAAAAGCTGTATCTGATTTAAAAATTGTCGGCAAAAGCTTTCAATAATGAAATGCCTAGTGGATGAATTTGTGTAGTTATTGAAATGACTTTGTGAGTAGAAATCACGACTCCCATAGTAGACAGGGAGAAAAGCAGAATGATGACCTTGGGTGAACTGCTCCTGAAGCCTTTCTCAGTTAATAATATGGCTTTCACTGTTATGGATGGGTCTTACTCCAAAATGCTTTCAGTTCTCTTGTTCATAATTTAAAGTCATGATTTAAAGTATTGACTAGATCAGTGTGAAGTGGTGCTGGAAAATATACTCAATGGATAGTGGATATAAAACTGTTCAGATAACATTAGCCGATGCTATTGTATGTGTTTTCTTTTTAAAGTTGATGATTTTCGGACAGTGTCCCTAAAGCTGTTGCAGACACATTTCAGGAAGTCGTTGGAAGACCATAAAGTGAGCCGGGTTGAGTTCTTGCCAGTTCATTGGCATAGTGCTTTGCATGGGGATGCAACAGGGGTGGACAGGTAAGTCTACTATATAGGACTACTATACCAAAAGACCATTCTTGCCAAAAGCAGTGTATTTAGTTGAGTTCATTTGTTACTCAATGACTGATTATCATCTTAGAAATAGTCAATGTTCTGTAATGCCAAGAATTAATATCTTCTAATTTTTTAATTAAGAACTTCCCAAATGTGTATTAACCCTATTGAATAAGCTCATCACTGTCTGAGTAGTCCCATGATGCCAGCTCTTTTTGTTTCATTAAAATAAAACAAGTTGTTTAGCATAAGATCCCTGCTGAATCAGACCAAGGGTCTGTCTGGTTCTAACCGTGGTCAACCATATGACTTTAGTAAGCCTGAAAGCAGGTTGATTAACCATAGAGTCGTCATGGTCAATAGCCATTTGTTCATAAATTTATCTAGTGTACATTTAAAGCCATCTAAGCCAGTGATCACCCATGCATCTTGTGACAATGAATTTCATAAATTAATTCTGTGTTGTTTGAAGGAATACTTCCATTATCTTTCTTGAACCTACTGCCATTAACAGTCCTAACTGCATAGGAGAAGGAGGGGAAAAATTACACTATGGATAATTTTATAATCCCTCTTAACTCTAGCTGATTCTTTTAAAAATGAGCAAAGTTAATGGCCTGTAAGAATTGTTGCATACAGCAAAATAGTGTTTTGGTTGTTTTCTAAGATCACTTCTGGTTTGTATCACTGCTGGACTTGCTGGGTATGTTTTGTAATAGGGTTGCCAGGTCATCATGCTGGTGGGGGGATTTCGGGGGAGTTCCATGACGTCCCTGACATGATGATGTCACCCAGAAGTTATGTCATCACATTGGCGATGTTGCACAGCAACACTGGTTTGAGGGCAAAACTCTATTACCATAGAGTTCTGCCCTCAAATCAGAGCACCCCACGCAACATCCCCGATGTGATGGTCACTTCCGGGTGACATCATCATGTCAGGGATGTCGCACGGGGACGTGGCTGTTTTTGGGCAGAGTTTCCCCCACCAGCCAGCTGGCTGGCAATGGGCTGAAGCCCCAAAAACGGTGGGAACCCCCACCAGAACCTAGGGACTGGCTACCCTAATCTGTAAAGTGATCCTAGTCTGATAGTCTAACCACTACATTACAGGGCCTACTTCATTGCGGGCTATAACATGCAGCGCAAATTGCTCCATGATCTTTAATCCAGTTTTGTAGATGTGAGAGTCAGGAGGCTGTCCTGCCTCTGAAGGGTAGAACAGCCAACCAGCTGTTTTTCCACTTGAGTCTATGGAAGTGCTGATACAGCATCCAGTCACTTTTCAAAGGGGGATGGCATGTTGGAGGAAAGCACAACAGCAGTCAGTTTGGGTCTACCTCAGCAAGATAACAGATAGTTTAAAGGGTAGCTCTGCCTGATAGCGTGACAGTGTTGTTTAACTTGATCTTGGCAGAGGATAGAGTTACCTGGCCTGTCTCTGGTGGTGAGCAGACCTGAAACCATTTAGTTTGACTCTTGGGAAAGGGCAGGCTGGTGGGGTGGAATCCTTTTTTTTTTTTTTTGTAAAACGTTTTATTAGGATATATCCAAGTTACATCAACGCTTTTCATACATTTATATCTTTTCTACATCCTACCCTCCCTTTCCCCCCGTGCATGGCTTCCCACAGTGCTCAGATCTTCAGTTCACCTCATTATCTTGGTGGGATGGAATCCTGTATGTGTATAAAATGATCCAGCCTGGTGGCTAGGCAGTGAAAGCCTCTTTGTAACTGTAAGCCTTAAAGGGAATTCAAATCACAACTATTTAAGTGCTTCAGCCAGGCTTCTCCTGTGATTGTGAAAACATCCTTCACAAATGCTGTCCACTTACTGGAGCTTTCTGTTTTAGGAAAAGTTTCACATTGTTTATGAATATAGCTAACTATTTATTTGAATTTCAGGAATATCAAAAAAATTACTCTACCAACCATTGGACGTCTTCGTCACTTCACCAATGAGACTCTACTTGATATCCTGTTTTACAATAGTCCGATCTACTGTCAAACAATGGTGGATAAAGTAGGATTGGAAATGAACCGTCTGTATGCACTTTTCATGAGCAGAAATCCTGACTTTAAAGGCGGAGTCTCCGTTGCTGGTCACAGTCTGGGTAATCTAATAAAATGTGATAAATTTAGATTTGAGGAATAAAAATCTAATCTTGTATTAGAAATACAGTTTTCATTGCACAGCACTTGATAGTGTTGTCTTAAAAATTGAGTCTGTTGCTCTTTGGGCTTCTTCAGCAGCATATTCCTCTAGGATGTGGTCTGTTAACCTTCCCTTTACCAGACAAAACTGAAATGTATCTGTTTAAGTCTGAATAGAAATCCATACCAACCAATGTATACATTGTTTTACTACAGGAGATAATCTTTGAAATTCTATTTTCTTTTTGGTAAAAGGGGATAAATATTTTTAAAGTTTGCAGATCAGGCAATGCTCTTCACTTTTCTTTTCCAATTTAGACTAATATGAATTGGGAAAATGAGTTCTATTTTGTAGCATATAACGGTATTATAAATTGTGTCATACTGGGGATAGATTTTTCTATTAGAACAAAACTGCCACTTCAGTTCCCTGCTTCTGCTTTCTCCAGAGAATCTGGAAGGTAATGTTATAATACCTTGTTTTGGCTCCCCCAGGTGCCTTAATTTTATTTGACATACTGTCCAACCAGAAAGATTGGACTTCCACGGTTAATTCTGTGACTCCTGCTGTTGCTGCCAATGGTGTTGTGAAGGACACTGCTGAATGTGACCAGCAGGTATTTGTAGTATGAAGTAATTGTGCTTGAAATTTGCATAGTTATAACAAATGTTTAAATATTTCTTGAAAGTAAAACTAACCATGCTTCTAGAAATATACAATCTTGTCAACCTCTTGCCGTGTCTATCAGATGAAAATGTCTGCAGCTGTCTTATACTGACCATTGGTCCTTCTACTTAAAACAATATGATATCCCTTTAACCTAGAAATGTCCAGGATCGAACCTGGGATCTTCCATGTGCAATGCATGTGCTCTGCCACCGATATGTGACCCTTGCTTTAGTGTTTAATTTCACGTCTTCACACGGCTACATTTGGCTTTTTGTCTACCTTGAAGATAGGGTGACTTACAGCTGGATCTTGTTAATTGGACTAATATGTGTAAATAAATTGGTAGCAATGTATGAAAGTGTATTGTAATTCTTTTTTCTTTTCTAGATGACAGTGGATTCTAATTCTGCTGGTTCACTGCATACTCTTTCCAATGATGAACATTCAGATCATGATGTAGAGGAGTATATTCCAACTTTACAAGAAACTTTGGGGACCTTAAGCTTGTCTGAGTATATCAGCACATTTGAAAAGGAGAAGATTGACATGGAATCTCTGGTATAGCAGTTAATTACAATTAATACTGTAAGGCCCAAATTAATAGTGAATGTTAATAGATATTGGGCATGTGCGATTGTTGACAAGAGATGGAAATAATGCTTTGAGAGTAAAAAACCTTATTTGTGAAAGTAAGAATATATTTTGACAGGGTCTTCTTAGGCCATTGCCTAAGATGATGTTCCTTAAGTGGAATATGTAGAAATGCTGGATCCTGCATGGAGATTATTAAACTCTTATGTTTAGAAATAGTCTACTGTGTTTTGGGGCATAAAATTCAAGGCAGCTTGCAAAATTTAAAAAATAAACATTAACAATAAAATCAAACAAATAAGACTTGTTTGAAATAATTAGACTTGCCTGAATTAAAAGCACAGATAAAAATAGCAGGAAACCAGCATTAAAAACATGAGAGAACAAGGTGGACCTTGCCTCACTCAATAAATGTTAAGAGTGGTAGTGCCACAGGAAATATCTTGTGTCAGCAGAAGGCATTTTGCGCTGGAGGAATTTGGAGGTGCTGGCAGGAAAAAAAATTGTAGGATCCCACCCAGTTTGTTCTTTGAGCCAAAAGTCTCCTATTCACTCTTCCGCTCCTATTCACTCTAATCAGTCTCTTAGGTCTGCAACTATGTACTGTATGCTTCTTAATGAGACTGGTCTTATTACAATTGTGATTTCATATCACTGTTGAAATATATATTTTTGGTACAAAAAATTGAAGTTATAAGTAACTTATCTGTGTTCCTTAAATGAGTTAAGCAATTAAAAAAATGTCTACAGCTTTATTAAAAATGTGTTTTGTGTACTCCCACCCCCCTTTTTAAAGCTAATGTGTACAATTGATGACCTGAAGGAAATGGGAATACCTCTTGGGCCACGAAAGAAAATTGCAAATTTTGTAAAAGACAGAGCAGCAAAACAGGTAGGAAGCAATTGCTTTGTGAAGTGGAGGCTTTTCTATAAGCTTCTGTTTTCTGGAAGTAATATTTCAGTGCCATAGAGCAAGTCAAAGAAATACAAACTAGGCACAACAATGCAGAATTTGTTTTTCTCTATCTTTGTTATATAAACATATCTTTCTACCAAGCTACCATAATTCCATACTGAGATTTCAGCTCCTAACACGTGTCTTATCTGTATCACAGCCAAGAGTACTAAAACCACTTATCATGAGTCAGACTCCAGCTTTAATCAAGATTATCCCCAGGAGTTCAGTTAAAGAGTGAGGGAGAGAAAGCAGCACTATTAAAATAGATCATGGCTGGCACTTGAAGCCTTTCCTAGCTTGCAGCAAATAAGAAAGTGTTGCTTGAAGCAGACAAGAAACTAGTCTGAACAATGTATGCCACCATATTGTATCTCCCAGAAATCTAAATGTGTACAGTGCCAAGTAGTCTTGATGGAGTTGAAGGAGTAGATGATCTTCTATGAGAGAAAAAACTCTTGGCTTTGTAGTATCCTTTCAAGATATCTCTTGAACTTAATATTTGTTCTACATTTTGCATGTTCTCTTCAGAACATTTAATTTTTTAAATTCAAATGTGCTAAATATGACTAAAATACAAAGAATTTCACTGTTCATTACAGCTAGATGGAAGCTGTGTAAATTATTGGAGATGAAAAATATAATGCATCGACATTAAATTCATGAATGTCTTACTTTCAGTATTTCTTGTGATATGTAAGTACGATGTATTCTTGGGGAAAAAATTCCCAAAACCCTGAGAGCTGTATAGAGAGCATAGTCTCTGACTTGTTTAAAGGCAGTTCTTTAATTGGAAAGGATATGGCAGGTGTCAGCAGCATAGACCTTTTCCTTATGGTGTTTAAAATCTTTGCTTCAATAGGAACAGAAAAAAGCAGCATTAGAAAAAAAGGCAGCAATGGCTACCTTGTTGCAGAATCAGGGAGAAGTTGGTCAGACAGGACAGAAGGTTACTTTAGCTGTGTCTTCAGAACCTGGCAAGCTGCAGGATCCAGCCAAACGAAAACTTCCAGTTGGAGCTTCAGTTTCATCTGCACACATTGACTATGAGTATTTTGAAGTGGGTACTGGTCAGGTAAGCGACATGAATTAAAACAATCCAGTTTATTTATTTACTTCATTTACATCCCACTATTCTCCCCAGTTGGGACCCCCTTCCCCATTTTAACTTCTCAGCAACCCTGTGAGGTAGGTTAGGTTGAGAATGTGTGACTGGTCTCAGGTCACCCAGGAAGCTTTCTTGGTTACAATGGGCATTTGAATTAGTAGTCTCACAGATCCTAGTCATATACTCTAACCACTACATCGTACTGGCTCTCAATTTATGGAGCTGCCTGTTTTGTCTTATCTGTGTAGCTAATGGCCACACGATTATATGCTGGTTATGGGATGGGTTAAAAAGGTAAAGGCAAAGGTTCCCTTGCTTGAAAGCCAGTCGAGTCCGACTCTAGGGTTGCGGTGCTCATCTCCATTTCAAAGCCGAAGAGCCAGCGCTGTCCGAGGACGTTTTCCGTGGTCATGTGGCTGGCATGACTAAACACCAAGGCTCACAGAACGCTGTTACCTTCCCACTGAAGTGGTACCTATTTATCTACTTGCAATTTCTTGCTTTCGAACTGCTAGGTTGGCAGGAGCTGGAACTAGAGACGGGAGCTCACTCTGTCATGCGGCAACTCAGGTCTTGAACTGCTGAACTACTGACCTTCGACAGCCTGCAGTTCAGTGTCTTAACCACTTGAGCCACCGCAGCTCCCTAGGGGATGGGTTATGGAAGACTAAAGAACAGTGTAAGCCATATTGCCGGTGCTGAAGCTATGAGTAGAGCATGTATGTGAGGGTGCATCGTGAACTTGTCCAGCTGCACCAAAGTAACACTGTTATTGACAAAATATATTTTTGTTTAACTTGTTCTGTTGTTGGCAGTTAAACCCTGTTCTCACTCTGTGGGTGAGAGGCACAGACTTTGTGAACAAAATGACATATGAGAGAGCTGCTATTTATCTTTCCTTTGTTCTCTCCCTCCTAGGTATCTGTGGTTTACAGCGCACTAGACTTTGAGCCAGAGATTTTCTTTGCTCTAGGTTCTCCAATTGGTGTATTTCTAACTGTAAGAGGAGTGGGGAAAATCGATGAAAACTACAAGCTTCCGACTTGCAAGGGTTTTTTCAACATTTATCATCCGGTTAGTGAGAAGTATAGGATTTCAGTCACCTTAGGTGAAGGGACTGCAGACTGATTACCCATTTGGTTCCTAATTGCATAGTTTTAAAAGCTGGGGGGTGGGGGTGGGGGGAAGCTAGATGGAAACTGCTCTCTGGTACCTTTTCAGGTGCTGCTTCAGAGAATGTATAGGTATTTAGGAATGCAGACCACTGTTAAGATGAATACTTTAAAAACATGTGCAATCCCTCATGCAGTTAAGTGAACTGAATATCCACCCAGATCACTGTGATGCGTTGGAACACTGCACTGGAGTACAGTTGCTTCTTTGTGGTTACGTATTTGTTTTGGGACTAGGTTTCCTGTTGTTGTTGTCTTTGATAACATGTTGGCATGTGGCCTACACGTCTTAATTCTTAAAATCTCTTCCGTTGCACTAATATTATTTGTATTTCTATTTGGCTCCAGTTCCTACTTGCAGACCTAAACCATGTACCAGCCTTTACAGGACCTGAGGAAAGGTTCTGTTGTTACCCATACTGGACCCAAAGAAGGGGAATTTAGCTTTAAAACGGTTCCACCACTAACCTGCCCACATTCTTCCAGTCATTAAACTGTTACCCAAACCGAACCCAGAGAAGGGGAAATTAGCTTTAAAAAGAGTTCCATAAAGGAATATCGCAGGACCTTGTAGGTCTGTCTATACCAGGTTGGATTTCAGTAGGGGTACCCTACAATAAAATTATGAAGAGAGTGAGTGATTTTAAACACAAACAAATAGCTTTATTGCATACAAAATAAAGTAAAAGAAATAAAGATGTAAAGAATCTACATTGGGCACACCAGAACTGATTCCATAAGTAACCACACATGCACATACCAACAAGGCACACTCATAAAAGGTAGGAAGGAGGAAATTGGTAAATTTTACGAAAGGGACATATGACCTGCGATTCTGGGCTGCAGGCCAGGAGAGGTCCAAGGCGCAGAGCGAGAAGAAAAAAAGGAGCCTGCAACACAATTGCAGGGTTGTTCTGGTAGTGGGAAAAACCTGGCACACTTTTCACTGACCTGGGATGGTCTTTTTATGGGGAAGAGTCTCATAGCTGGACGTGGGAACCCTCTTTCTCAGGAATCTGATTGGTCCAAAATGTAAAGTTTGAATCTCACTGGCTGGTTTAAAGAACTGTTGTCACACTTTGGTGGGGAAAAGTGGGGAAAATACCTTGATTAGGCTATTGTGAGCCAAATCTGCATGGGTGCAAAGAGCCTGGTTGAGGCAACATGCTCAACATACTTTAATTACGTGAGCCAGATTTGCATTGACACAAAAATTTGAGTGAGTCAAAATAACTCCTGAAACAGGATGGAGCGAAACTGATTACTTGAGTGCCCTTCTTGATTGAGTAAAAAAAGGGAAAAGAGGAACCCGGCTTTGGTTAATGTAATAGCAACTTCCTTGGGCTGGGATATGCTAGGGTATTCCAGTGCTGAAAAGTCTTGTTGTTGAGAATGAAGTGAAGTCTTGTTGTTATTTTGAAAAGTCTTGTTGTTGAGAATGAAGTGTTGTTGTTATTGATAACCCTGAACTGGGAGAGATTGCACTTAATTAGTTTGTGATGCCAGCACACCCTACCTCTTCCCTGGGCTTTCATGTTATAGAGCAATTATGCAACTGCCCACTTGACCAGTTTGAGCCTATCAATAGCATGATCTCTCCCCCCCCCAAATGCTTCTTGATGCTTCTGGAATAAGAGTAATATCTCCCCCTCCCAGCTGAGAGTAGTTAAGCAGTTCACTTTGATATGGAGGTGATAACACTTTGATATGCAGATGATACCCAAACTGAGAGTAGTTAAGCAGTTCACCTTGATATGCAGGTGATACCCCTTTTGGCTTGAGAAATTGTTATTCTTCCTCCTTAAATAGTACAAACAGGAAAATGGCTATTGTCTTGGGATTATACAGCAGAGCAAAAGGTGACACTTAAACTGTCAGATTAAACGATAAAGAGAAGGCACGTTCTCTTAGGGGTTTTGGAGGTTTGCACCCTTCCTGACATGGGCGTGGCACACCTGGGACTTTGCCACACAGGGGTCACTGGGGTCACTGGGAAGGGTGCGAAAATGTTTCCAAAGTGTGGGCTGGAAACAACACTCCAGGACTGGAGAAGATGGGAGGAGGGATAGCTGCTTTCTGGCATTGGACTGCGAAGGCCCGTGGAGTGGTGTACTGGAGGCAGGAGCAGCAACAGGAAGTTGTGTGGAAGGGGAGAATGCTTCTTCCCCTTCTAAATCACTGCTGTCAGAGACTTCTCCATAGAGTGTTAGCAACTGCTGGTCTCTGAGGAGTGCTAAGAACTTTTTGTCCTCTGTGGAGAGCCCCAGGAACAGATCAGGGGAAGGAGAATCTGAGACCTCTGGTGATGCCCTGCTAGGGGCAGGTGCCAGTGGGCTGGCAGGATGGGATTGGTGGCCAGGGATGGGAACCTGTGCTACTCGAGGGGTGGAGGACATCTTCCCACCATGATGAGCACCCTCTGCACCCACTTTCACCCTCATGGCACAGAGGGGTTGGTTCACAAATCAGGAGGAGTGGGAGGATATAAAATATGGGTCCTCAGCCAAGGAACCCATTAGCTAAGCCCCTCTGTTTGGTGTGAGCAGAGAGACAAGGTGGCTCAGAGTCCTGAGTCCACCTAACACCCCAAAACCCCAGCAGGGAAGAGGAATCACAATCAAAATGTGGGTCGTTAGCCGAGGAACCCACTAGCTAAGCTCTTCTGCTTGGTGTGAGCAGAAAGATGGTAGCTCAGAGCCCTGAGTCCATCTAACACTGAAACTCCAGCAAGGGAGAGGGGTTCCCAGTCATGAGGGAATATGCTCTGCTTCTCTGCTTTTAACAAGTTCCCTGCCTCTGTGTGTAACTGTGATCAGCCAACAGAAGAACAGAATGGAAGCTATGTTATTGGCAGTCAGCAGTGCGTGTTAAACTTTGGAGGGCTCTTATTGGTGTTTCCAAGGCTGGAGAATTCTGCTCCCCCTTTTGCCTTGGAGTTTTGTAAACAGTTTAATTGAATGAAGACATTCTTTCTGGAAATGTAATAATTCATGAATGGCCACAAAGTGCCACAAGCAGCACCAAAGTTCATGAAATGTTTGTGCTGGGTGCCCTTCCATGAACACTACTTCATGAACCAGGAACCGGCCAAAATTGCTGATGAACTTTACTTTGTAGGCCAGTTGTAATTAGTTTCATAGTTCTGTGGACGCAGACCAGAGGCATCTGAAATGCAGATTTATAATATTTTTTTCCTTTCATTTCCAGCTTGATCCAGTTGCCTACAGATTAGAACCTATGATTATTCCTGATAGTGACTTAAAGCCAGTTCTTATTCCACATCACAAAGGCAGAAAAAGACTTCACCTTGGTAAACAATACTAAAATCTTTTTTTCTGTTGGTAGAGATGATAATTTTGTGTGTGCCTCAGTTGTTGATATGCTAAGGCCAAATTTTACAGAGCTCGTGTTCCTATGCATATTTTTAATCTGTACAAATAACAAAAAAGGAAGATAAACTCTACTTTTAAGATCGCTAAACAGAATAAAGAAAGTTTATGGCAATGAAACACTGAGTTGTGAATTTTGAAAAACTGCAGTAGCTTCTGGATGTGATTAGTTTATGTAGGCAGTCTTTACTGATGCACGAAGCATCATATTTTCTGTTTGTCAAAGCAAATTGGGTTTGATTATAATGGAGATTATGGTTACAGAGACTTTGTTCAGGTTATGTTTGTCTCATGTTACAGAAAGATAGTATAGTGAGATTTCTGGAAATGTTTATGCCGTGAACCTTTTTCCTTTGGAAATCATGAGAAAACAGAATTTTCTGTTATACTGAAGGTAAAGGTAAAGGTTTCCCTTGCTCGAAAGCCAGTCGAATCCGACTTTAGGGATGCGGTGCTCATCTCTGTTTCTAAGCCGAAGAGCCAGCGCTGTCCAGAGACGTTTCCATGGTCATGTGGCCGGCATGACTAGACACCAAGGCGCACGAAACGCTGTTACCTTCCCATCGAAGTGGTACCTATTTATCTACTTGCAATTTCTTGCTTTCGAACTGCTAGGTTGGCAGGAGCTGGGACCAGAGACGGGAGCTCACTCCATCTTGCGGCACTCGGGTCTCGAATTGCTGAACCACCGACCTTCCGTTCTGCAGTTCAGCATCTTAACCACTTGACATCAAACCTAAAAGCGTGATATGTGTTGTGCATATCTAAGCATTTGGAACATAGATATACTGAACGACGTTATTTTGTAAAGTAAAAAGAGTATAAATTAATTTCAGTAATAGTTACAAATACTCATGAAGATTGAGTTGCCATCTGGCATCCCAAGGTGGCTAAACATCTCGTGTCCATTTGGCAAAAGAAAAAAAAGTTGGAAGTAGAAATATGAAACAAAAAGGATATAGTACTTCGCATATGATGTTCATATACACATACTCATGAAGAAATAGGAAAAGTTCTAGAAACACAATTTTTTTTCTGTTTCTTAGCCTGTAAATTTGATCATTAAAGCACTGAATGCCTTCCATTCTGATTATTTGTTTCTACTTTGATCTTTTATCCAAACTGAATATCCCTATCATGTAACTTATGTAATTTCACCGATCATTTTGAAAGACTCCCTCCCCCTTTTTAGTTTTTCATTATTGGGACTTGAGAAGAGAGTGTTTTTGAGGCCTTCACACGTTTAAATGGGTGGGTGAAGAGGCTAGATGTTGATATCCAACAGCATGACTTTGTGTCAAACTAGATGTGATATCAGGAAAACATGGATGGTTCTCTTGCATGTCAGAATAATTAGTTATAGGGGCCCACAGTTTAGGTTGGAAGACATAATTTCCCTGTATGAAGTTTGTCTTTTCCTCCCATGCAGCAAATAACAACTCAGGGAGACCGGATTTGGAGATTAGGATACCAGCATGGGGGGCGGGGTTTGGCACTTCCTCTTCTGTGCTGCTGCCCTAACCTAAGCCAGGGTTCCTGCACAGCTGCTATTCTGTCTTCAGACAGCCAACCAAGCAATGTGTTCCCATGTCTCCCTTTTTCATGCCTAGTTATTTATTTATTTATTTAATTAATTAATTAATTAACCTTAGACTTTATATCCCGCTCGAACCCCCTTTCTCAGGGGGTCTCAGAGCGGCTTACAGGCGGTGCTAGTCACACAATTAATTCCTGACTAGGGCCACAAGGTTTGTAGGGGCAGGGTTACCTATCAGCACCCTTTGTGATGGTTGAGATGTTTCTTGGTCCGGCACTCGGTACTTTGTTCGGCTCGGTCGTTCCCGGCGGGCTCCATGATTCGGCTGTAGTTAAGGCACACGATTCACGTCTTATTTATTTATTTTGTGTATAGCCCAGAAGGGCAGGCTGGAAGCCATCAGGCAGTTGTTCACAGTTACAATTTGAGTATGTTAGGTCTGAGAGCACACTCAGCTTTTAAGTTCTCCACATTGTGCCCTTGTGCCCCACAAGGAACCTACTTAAATTGCTATTTTAAGGATCCAAGCACTTAGGACTAGTAGTATTTTATTTTCTTGTTTACAAAATGTGTATCCTGCCTTTCTGCCTTACAAGGGCTGCCAAGGCAGCTAACAATTTAGAACAGGGGTGTCAAACATGTGGCCCGGGGGCCAGATCAGCCCCCCGGAGGGCTTCTATCAGGCCCGCAGTGGAACTGGCTGTCTTCTGCTTCTTTCATTTCTGCTGCTGGTGCTGCGTCATTGTAAGTTTGCAGCTTACAGATACACATCTGAACAGCATACTCAAGATTGCAACAGCACAGACATTTTGATGCAATAATTCAGAGCAAGAGGTGTCAGTTATCAGACACTGTTAAATAAACAAAATGTTGCAAGAGTGCTAATGTTTTAAGCATGTTTTTATTTTAAGTAAAAAAAAACACACCTTTGTGTTTGTGTCCTTTATAAAGTTTATATCTCCGCTCCCTGGTATTACATTTTATGACACACATGGCCCGGCCCAACAAGGTCTCATTTATGTCATATCTGGCCCTCATAACAAATGAGTTTTACATCTCTGATTTAGAACATACTCGATAAAATGTCATTATAAAATCATTAGAATCAGCCCACGGTTTCAAACATACATAATTAAAAAGCAACTTTAAAAGATAGAGTAAAGATACGTACAAAATATAAAAATATTGGTTAGGAAGGAGTCTTTACCTGATGGTGGAAGATGGCAGCAGAAGGGGACAGATGAATATCCCTGTTTTTTGAGTTCCAGAGCTTTTTTTTAATCCATTGCCGTCGTATTTTTAAATGTGTGCCTCCCCAAACCTATATATACGCAGCATCTCTTCCCCTTCCCTCTGTTTGCTGGCATCTTCACAGGTAGACATTATGTTGGGTTTTTTTTGAGTACTTGAGACAAAAAATGTTGCCTGTCTCCTGGTTTAATTTTTGCTTCTGATTTCGAAGCCTCTAGTTGATTTTAAAAATGGAAAACAGTACTAACAAACTAACTCTTTCCTGCTGGTGGCAGAATATCTTAGCTGAAATATTATATACTGTTCTTTTTAAAATTCTGTCTAAAATTGGTGCCTCTTGAATAATGTTCATTTCTTACAATTGATAATTTACAAATTACCTCTGTACAAATTAGCTCTCCTAATCTCTAGGAAATACTTCTCGTTTTAGAACTGAAAGATTCTTTGTCTCGCATGGGATCAGATCTGAAACAAGGTTTCATCAGCTCTTTGAAAAGTGCTTGGCAAACCCTGAATGAATTTGCACGTGCTCATACATCCTCTCCTCAGCTCCAAGCAGAGTTAGAGAAGGTGGCTAATCAAATTAAAGAAGAAGAAGAAAAGGAAGCAGTGGAAGGTTAGTTGGTGTATTGGCTCCTTAACCTTTTCAGATTATCAGTGTTGTAGCCAGCTTTTGAAGGTGAAAATGGTAATTCTCAATTCTCCATTAGATTTCCACCTGTCATTTCTGGCTCTGAAAAACCTGAAGTCTCTGGATAAATTCTGTAGCTCATATTGTCTTTTAAAAATGTTTTTATTTTAAGCATTTATGCCTAAAGGAGAGCTCTGCGCAACTTAGCTCATACTTGAAGCATTTCAGTCTTTCTTGGCCAAGTGAAGTTCATTACTTTGCTAGCCTGTTCACGTTTATGTGCTGATTACTAATGCTGGGGTACGTCCACTGAAGTGAATGGCCACTGTCTGTGGCTTGGCTTCTTGCCTGCTTCTGATAAATCTTTACTATCATGTCTGGATTCTTTTTCCCTTTGAGAAAGAGGGATGTTAAAAATAAAGGCAAAAATAGGCAGATGTTCCTGGCCAGGTCAAATAAATTGCACTGAGTATGTCCAGTGAGAATTTTGATCTTTCCTTTAGAAGGTCCCCTTAGTGTCAGGAGCAGACTGTCAAGTGTTATGAAGGGCCATTGGGGGGGGGGGAGTCAAAAGGTCCCTTGAGTGCCTGAAATGTCCCACAGGTTTTTCCTTTGTGATCTAACCATTGCTGTTTTTTTTTTGCAAGTAACGGTTTCAACTTGTGATCTACTTTCACCCTTTTTCTTTTTCTATGGTATCAGAAAAGATCACTGAAAGCCCAGATCTTTCAAAAGATGAAGATTTGTCCATAAAAGTTGGCCTGCTAAATGGAGGCCGTCGTATTGATTATGTTTTACAAGAAAAACCCATTGAAAGTTTCAATGAATACTTGTTTGCTCTACAGAGTCACTTGTGCTACTGGTAAGGTTTCTTTTTGTTCCAATATGATACACAGCACTGCAAATCTGTTTCCTTGCTTTATTGCTATATCTTGATTACTAGAATTACTAGGAGTAAGGCCCATTGTGGAAATAAATACGAGCTCTAGAAAGAGGCTCTGGCTCTGGGCAGGTGCCCCAGCCTTGGCCAATCAGCGTCAACTTGCTTTGGTGACCTCAACAGGGTATAATGACACAGAGAGGACTGTTTTCTCCAGGCGAACTGATCTCTGCCATCTGAAGATCAGTTGTAATTCTGAGTGAACTCCAGCCCTCCCCTGGAGATTGGCAACAATGGTTCCCCGGGAGAAAATGGCTGGTTTGGAGGGTGGAGTTTATGGCATTGTACCTGTCTGAGGTCCCACCCCTCCTCAAACCCCACCCTCTCCAGGCCCAACCCCTGAAGTCTCCAGGAATTTTCCAACCTGGAGTTGGCAACCCTTTTTCCTTCCTACCAGACTTTTATTGGCCCAGTATGATTTTGTGGCTAATAGTGGTGCAGATCACCCAAGATGCTGCACTGCTACAGTAAATCTAAATATTGTCTAATTTATTCTAAGGTTTAGAAAGGATATTTCCCTTTCTACCACTATGTGGCATTCAAGTTGTGTCCTAGGCTTACAGTATGTTCTATGCAGGAATTTTGGCCTCCCCAGGATTGGGATACCTAAGGGTCAAATGACAAATGAGAAGTTACGTTTTTTAGTTAGTTACCTCTGGGTTCCCCTGATCCAACTCATGCTGCATGGATTGTCATTTTAAAGATCAAAGGGAGCCCTTTTCCATGTGGAACTGTGGCATGGAGAGGAGGGGATTCTCCCCCCCCCCCCCCGTGTTTTCAGAACCTGCAGTGGCACCAGCAATGGACTATTCCAATTATGTGCTGCTCTAGAGTTATGTAAATAACTCCCTGCTGGAATTGTTTCAGCTTATAAGGCAAAAAGTGCTCCCTCTGATTTTTAAAAAGACATTCTCTGCTGCTGCTGTATGGCTGCAGGGAAAATACGTTTGGTTTGGGGGCAGTGTTCCTTCTAAGCTGAGTTAGTGTGAGCTAGCTCACAGTTTTTTAGCCTCTGCCTCACACATTTTTGTCTTAGCTCAGGAAAGATAGCTCCAGAGCCAAACTAATTTATGCAGTAACCTAATCGCTCACTTACAACTTTAATGCCAGTAGCTCACATAGTAGAATTTTTGCTCACAAGACTCCACAGCTTAGAGGAAGCATTGTTTGGGTGAACCGAGACTCAACTTGCCAAAAACAGTAGTGTTTAGTTTGGTCGGAAGACAGTGGCGTTGAATGGGAAAAGCAGGTGGCCTTGGAGATGGGCTTGTGTGACTGTATTAGCATTATAAAGAGAATTGCTGAAATAGGTGGTGATGGTGGTTATGTGGTTTTGCTTTTATTTTTCTTGAGACACGGCCAATGAGAGTGCTTCTTGTCAAAGAAGCAGCTCAACTGAAAACACCAAAAACAACCCCTTCTGATTTGAAAATTTGATTCCAGTATTTTTAACTGAATAGCTGGCCCTATAAAATTTATTTTATAACTTGATGTATGTGCACACTATTTTTCTGAGATGCATTTTTATGCTTCAATCCATTTTGCTTGGTTTGTTATGAAAGATAGCTGTGCATTGTATAGTTTTTATCCACAAGATGGCACTCTTTAGTTATTTTTATTCCGTAAAATAAATTATAAGAGTGCCAGGCTTTTTGAAAATAGATTTCAGGTAATGTAGCAGGATGAGTCCAGGTAACTTCTTTAAATGCTTCAGTTGCTGCTATCGTTGCTATTGCAGACAAATATGTCGTCATAGTACATTTTCCCTTCAATCAATAATATTTACAGTGGCTATTTTTTACTGTTGGCAGTACAAGGTTCGGCATACAAAAGTGTTCTCTTTTCGAGCCTCAAATTAAATTATCTAGACTTTCATAAAGAGAAACTCCAGCATGAAATATATTGTCTGATAAGGAAGATTGCTAACAGCCTGGATGAAAAAATGCCTAGCTCCTTGAGATGTTACTTATCAGGTGATGACGTTTAGCTGTGTGCTATGAAAATCTTCAGCTGCCAATTTGCACACATTAGGACTCTACAAAAGGGGCACAACATTTTTTTCCCTCCAGGCTGTTGGTCTGGAAGTTTTGCTGTTTGAACTTCTGGATGAGGATGGCCTATTAAGGTTTACTTACCTTAGCTTTTAGTGGCTTTTGAAAACAATAGATAGTTTGCATTTTGTAGTACAACTGTTGGGCTGGGTCCGACTAAATTAGTAATTTCCACTGATTCCCCCTTCCTGTTGTAGACCCCCTCCCCTTATGACAATCCCCTAAGAGTAGCATTTTGTGGAGACCAGTGAGCTGCAATGGGAAGGGAAAAGCAGGAAAGCTTTGTTCTACTGCTGGAAAATTTAGTCAGGATTCACACTGTTGGATACAGTAAAGTGAGTGGTACGGCTTGATCAGTGGAGGGTCACATGGATGGCACTAACTCGTATTTGGCCTTTTGTATCTCCCAGCTCCCTGTCTTCTCAGTGATTCAGGGCTGCTCTGTGCCTTTTTTAGAGAAGCTAAAATGCTCAGTGTGCTGGTAGAATAAGGAGCCCGCAATAAAGCACAGGTGTCAGGGCCTGAGCAAGTGTAGTAGACCTGATCAGCAGATGAGTAAGATGGGGTGCTGCCTATAAGGAGCCATCTCTTCTCTGAGTGGAACAGGGAAGGACAGGCAGAGTACAGCTCAACCTTTTGGTTGTCAGGTGAGGCGATTCTGCCATGCTCAGAGTTAGTATTAGGGAGATCTTAACTGGGGATTGACTTTTGCACCCACAAACGCCAAACAAAGAGCAGTGCCCTGACAGCTATCCCCTTCCAGAAATTCTGCTAGGCATTCCGTCAGGCTTATTGTCTGTGGCTGTATCATGGACAGACATTTCCCTTAGCCTTTGTGCCTCTGCTCCATATCCCCCAGTTTCCTGTTGTATTTCTTTCCAGTTCAGTTCTCTTCCCACCTTGGCAAGACTATAGTCTACATCCTTTAATGGTCTCATTTTGGTGCCATCTGAATGTCTCTCAAGTGCTTGAGGCTTCACTCCATTCCTGCGTGTACCCCTCTCCCTTAGGGATTGTTCTCTTTCTTCTTTTATCTGCTTCCTTCCTTCTTCCTGCTAAGTTCCACACCTCCAACCTTTCTTTGGCTGACTAGTAGTTTTCCAAGCTTTTTCTGTCTCACAAACAGTGTTCCCTCTAAGCTGAGTTAGTGTGAGCTAGCTCACAGTTTTTTAGCCTCTGGCACACACATTTTTGTCTTAGCTGAGGAAGGATGGCTCCGGAGCAAACTCACTTATGCAGTAACCAAATCGCTCACTCACAACTTTAATGCCAGTAGCTCACAAAGTAGATTTTTTGCTCACAAGACTTCACAACTTAGAGGGAGCATTGGTCACAAAGGGTTTGTGCATGTGAGAACATAACTCTTACTTGCCAATATATTTACTTTTCCTCAGACAGAAACTCCAAGTACATTATATTAATATTAATAAAACATATGCAGTAACGCTGCAAACATTAATGTTTTTAATTCACTATGTTCTGATAGAAGTGTCAGTTGCTAGAAAGTTATACTGGAATTAAATCTATAAAAGCTCAGCTGAATTAAAAGTAGAGTAGTTGGGAAAATACCACAATTGCATGAGTCAGGCACAATAAACCATGCCCAGGTAGTCTGTGGCTCCTGTGAATCCATTCCATGACTGGTGTTGCTTCCCTATGGCAGAAGGTTTCTTGTGCCAAATGAAAGCACAACCAGAACTGAGTTGAGGGATCCAATCCTAAATCTTTATATGGCAGTGAAATAGACAACGATTGGCTAAGTGGGTGCAATATCATGGGAATAGCCAGTAATATTTTAACTAATGAGTCACAAACAACAAAGGAGCTGTGGTGGCTCAAGTGGTTAAGACACTGAACTGCAGGCTGTGGAAGGTCAGTAGTTCAGCAGTTCAAGACCCGGGTGCCGCAAGACGGGGTGAGCTCCTGTCTCTAGTTCCAGCTCTTGCCAACCTAGCAGTTCGAAAGCAAGAAATTGCAAGTAGATAAATAGGTACCACTTCGGTGGGAAGGTAACAGCATTCCATGTGCCTTGGTGTCTAGTCATGCCGGCCACATGACCACGGAAACGTCTTCGGACAGCGCTGACTTTTCGGCTTTGAAACGGAGATGAGCACTGCAACCCTAGAGTCGGATTCGACTGACTTTCGAGCAAGGGAACCTTTACCTTTACCTTTACCGTACACAAACAACAAGAAGGTTCATATTCCAGCTTCTGCAATGGAATGGGAAATTGTCATTTTGACCGGGATTAAAACCTTTCATGGGGAAGAGAATGGAACTGAGAACCAGAAAGCTGAGCCAAAAGGGATCCCAAGAGGCAAAGTAGTTAAGAAGCCAGAGGTCCTAAGGTAATGTTGCTGAACAGGTAGGGCAAGAATAGACTGGAATATAAGGGAAATACAAGTGAAATGGAAGGAGTCTTAATGGAGCCAAGAAGAAAAGCAGATGTACCTAGAGAAATGGTGTGAACTATACAGTCACCTTTATGACTGGAAGCTTTTTGTTTAAATGTAGTAAGCCTAAACAAACACTGAGGAGGCTGAAGGTAAAATAAATCCCTCAAGACTATGGGAGGAATAGATTGGGGGGGGAATATGAATGAGAGAAAAGATTAAAGCTTCAAAGTGGTAAACCTTTCAAGCCACAAGATCACACTGCAGTTGCGAAAAGGAATGTAAAATAAAATGAAGTGTGCTTTGCTCACAGTAGACAATTCCTTGGAAAATCACCAAGTCTTTTTTGTCTACAGGGAATCGGAAGACACTGCGTTGCTTCTCCTGAAAGAAATATATAGGACTGTAAATATCTCTCCTGAACAGCCACAACATTGATGTATAGATACTTGTAATTTGGAATACTTGTCATTTGGAATATGTAAGTATGCCTCAACTTCAGTGTAGCACACAGTTGTCTTTGATGAGGAAACAGAACTTAATACAAATCAGAGAAATCATGGGGGTACTCTTGTGTAGCATTAGAGATTTTGACGCCAAAGAAAAATAACCATTATGTGATAAAGGAAAGTGTATTTTTCGGACAGAAACAGTCTCATATAATGGTGACAGCATATCTGGAAATTGAGCTAAAATATTAAAAACATTAGGTTGGATCCATTGATTCCTGCCTTCCACTTCAAACCTCTGGCTCCCTCCTCATGCTGTTTTTGGGGGATCCCCTGATTCTCAGGAGCAGCATTTCAGGGGGCATTTTGGGTAGAAGCAGGAGGCAAGGAAGTCGAACTCTGATGGAAATCCTCTCAGTAGAAAATCTTATTAGGATCCAAGCCAGTGAAGTAGTCAATAGTGTATTATCATTGTACACATTATAGCATATTAATTATGAGGAAAACTAGTAATTTCCAAATACATGTTTGTAAATACACTGTACAAGCAGGGAACCTGCAATCACTTGTGAGGGCCACTTCTTCCCCACATTGTTCTCTTTCTCTACTCCTGGAAGCCCCCATATCCTCTCCCCTTCCCCTGCTTCCTTCTTTTTTCCTCACTCACCAGCCAACCTTTTATCTGACCCCATGTCTTATTTACTATTTACTAGCCTGGTACCCATGTTTTGCTACGGTATTTAACTTCCGTAAATCCAGTTATAATACTGATGATGTAAAGTTTGAAATGTAACATTTGTTGTAGGAATTCTAATGGACAAGACTGTAGTGTAAAAAATGAAGTGAGACATGTACTTTTTCTCTCTCTACTGAAGGACCTCTCTGTAGACTGCTGGGGCGGGTTCCCTCATGGCTTTAAGCACCCTGCAACCATTGCTGCACCTGACAGACAACCGCCTGTTAGGTGTAGGAGGTGGGGGGAGTGTGTTGTAAACCATCAGAGAGGCTGAGCCAGCAGCATCGCTAAGGTGATGCTGCTGGAGCGACATCCCTGATGGATTAAAGTACCCTGGTCCTGCTCCTACACCTGACAGACACCCGCCTGTCTGGTTTTGGGGGGATTATGTTTAAACGCATCAGGGAGGCTGGGCCAGCAGCAAGGCTAAGGCAGTCTTGCTGAGCAAACCTCCCTGGCGGCTGTAAGCATCCCACCTCTTCCTACACCTGACAGGCAGCTGCATGTCCAGTGTAGGAGGGGGGAGGGGAAGGACTTTAGAAGCCACTGTGGAGGCGGGGCTGGCAGGATTACTAAGGCGTTACTGCTGGGGCAGGCTCCCTTGTGGCTTTAAGCACCCTGCAACTGCTGCTGCAACTGACAGACAACTGCCTGTCATGTATAGGAGGGGGAAGCATGTTTGAAGCCATAGGGGGGCTAGGCCAGCAGCTTTCCTTCACCTCACAGGCCACTCCTGATTTCCTGAACTGTCATTAGCTCTCTGCAGTCCCCTGTAACTGTTTTTTTTACCTCAGAACACTGAGCTCTGCAGCTGACCAATCAGAGAGTGGGGGGTGTAAGGAGGCAGCAGCCTGGCAGCCACATAGGAATCAATGGGGGTAGCACATTTTACCCCTTTTGACCCCTTTAGGGGTCAAATTTCTAAAAATCCCTTCTTAGTGAACATCTATGCCATGGTAGCAGCGCTTTCCCCGAATTTGGTGTCTCTAGGTCCAGCGCTTTGGCCTGGGCGTTGATTTTATGGTGAGGGGACTTTCTTTTATATATATAGATTTACTTCATTTGTTCCCTACCTTTCTCCCCAGTGGGGACCAAAAGCATCCCACATCATTCTCCTCTCCTCTTTTTTATCCTCATAATAACCCTGCAAGGTATATTAGACTGAGAGAGTGACTGGTCCAAGGTCACCCAGGAAGCTTTTATGGCCGAGTGGCGATTCAAACATGGGTATCCCAGATTTTAGTGTTACACTCTAACCACTACACCACAGTAGCTCTCCACTTTTCCATGTTCCCATCTCCTGGCAGCCTCTCCCTAGGAAAAGGCTAGCTAAGTTGCAAAAGTTGTACAGTAGCAAATTGCTTGTGAATTGTGTGGCTGCTCAGGTTGTGTGGAGGCTGCCGCTAGGCCTAGGTGAGTTGTGTGGCATCAAGTTGTAGCCACCACTGCACCTGGTTGAGTTGTGCAGATCACATTATAGCAAGTTTCCCAGTGGTTGCTGCTGGGCTGAGTTCCGAAGAGTCCTCCCTCCAGGGGTAGGCTGGGAGGTCAAAATAGGTCTGGAAAGGACCCTTGCCCTGCCTTTTTCTGACAGAAACTAAAGTTTGAAGCAACCTCCCCAATGGCCACTGAGAGCTCCTTTCTGAAAAGTACATGAACTGTTTCCAAAAGGTTTTGTTTTTCTTTAAGATTTCAGATTTTTCTGCAAACCTGGGGCTCTTTTCAGGTTCATAGAAAAATCTGTCTTTGTCTATTCATGGCTTCAGTCTCCAAATGTAAGCGTCCATATATTTGGCTAAGTTGAGAGTTAGATATACTGATATGCGTGTAGTATACACAGGCACCTTCTATCTGATTGTGAACTTGATTCCTATTCTGTGGAGGAAGTGAATTTGCAGGGGAAGGAGGTGGTGTCAGCACAGGCGACAAGATGGGGAAGGAGGAGTTAGTGAGGAGGGGTTTAGGTGATAGTAGCCGGATATTTGGTGGAGGGAGTAAGAAGGTGGTGACAACTGGGAAAGCAGGAAGGAGGTGCTGGGGCGAACAAGAAGAGAAGACCTGGGTATCAGTGGGATGAGCTTTCCTCCATCCTGTGAGCTCCTTGCAGGTTCCCTGTTTGCTGCTATTTACTGTTATTCATCATCCTGCATAAAAAACCCCCCTTCATGCTACACATTTTGAATAAATAAAACCTTTAAAAAACATTTCACTAATGCTAAACAAACAAATATTTCACAGGAATAGTTTTAGGTTTTCTTCTAAATGTCCAGTTTTTCCATTGGCAAACATTGAAAAAAGTCTGGGCGGATTTTTTTTCTTCCAGGTCTTTGCAGCTCTGGAGAGCCCGAAGGAAGTGTTGTAAATAAGCCAGTGTTCCTTGGCAAAGAGTTGCTTGCACCTGAAATGTATTATACACTAAAAAGAAACCTGTTCTTAGCTTCAACCAGTTTTAGTGTTAGTGCTACCTTTTTCTTTTGTGACCTCAGTCTAACTAAAATCTACTTCTAGTTTAATATTTACTTTAATCTCCTTTATATCATTAAAATTGCAACCTACTGCACATACTTCAGTGTATGAGCCATCCTATGTTCTGCTGGCACATAGTGTTGTTTAGGTCCTTGTTACAATAGATGGAAGCTAATGTTCTCATCTTGTTTTTTTTAATGATTTTTAAAGCCTCAGGAAAAACACAAAACAAGTCATATACACATACATATCATCTCAGGATTAACTTCAGAAACACTGACCTTGATAATCCATTGAATAAAAAATCTCTAACCATTTAAACTTCTGTAATACCAGAGTACTGTGCTCAGTTGTCATAGTAGCGTTCTTTAGAAAGAGATGTGTCTACTGTGTAGAGTTCAGTTGAAGTGTGTGTGTGCATGTGTGTGGAAACTTAGAAGAGTCGAAATTGTACCAGGTGTTTGTTTGGCACTTCTTAATTAGGCGTCCCTGCCAGCTTTCCTGAGCATACTGCATACCAGTATGTGAAATATTAGGCGCCATTGGGTTTAATGCTTTAGTATTTTCTTATTACATGAGTCACCTGTTGCAGCTGCAGTAAATGAGCAAATGCAATGCTAGGAATTATTCTAATTACTCCAGGGACTCAGTGAAATATACACTCTGGCTCAGACCATGCTGCTGCTTCATGACATATTCATGCTTTGCTTGTTAAGCAAAGTTGTGTTTAAAATACAAATGCCCATAATCACACGCACGACAGGTTGCCTAACAAATGTGAAGTCCTCCAGTGGGCTTTCTACACAGACAGCAATGGGAGAGGGTGGGCCTCATCTTGCTCTGACACTGAAAGCTCATAGGAAACAATGCAGATGCCAGCATCTCCACCATAATGGAGAACAGCCCAGTTCCCAGCATTATTGCACTTGTTCAATTAAATTAAGATTTTTAGCAGAAGATGTTCTATTGTTGATTGGCTTATATCAACAAAAATGCCTTGCATTTTCTCTGCTTTTGGTTGAATGTATTTTTCAAAACTGTAGCAGAATGAAATATGTATCTGGCACATGATCCACCCTGGTGAAGAGGCACAGCACCTGCAGAGAATTGCCAGCAGCTCGCTAGAGCCTCTTCTTTTTCACAGGCAGCACAATGTCCATTTGCTGTGTACAGCCCATCCATACAACTTGTCTACATGCAAGTTAGTTGTGCCATCCAGGTACCTGACCACATTCATAAGAACTTCACCAAGGGCTCCTATTTAACTGACTTCACATTCAAAACAAAATGTTCCTGTTTATACTATGACAATCCCAAATGCTGTAAAAGACATAGACTTTGAGAAAAATATACCTGGTCTTATTATTTATTGATTGATTAGATTTTTACCCCGCCCTCCCGGCAAAGCCGGCTCAGGGCGGCTTACAGCAATATAAAATGGTACAATAAATAATAAAACCAGACAAACACAAATTTAAAACTTTAATTATACAACTTAATAAAGTGCTAGCATTAATTCCTCAGGCACAGTCAGTATCATAATTTACTACAGATGTCCCAGGCACTCGGGTCAGGCTATATTTAGGTCGAGCTATATTTGCTTTCAATTGCTTGCTAACAGAAATGTGCACTATATGGCCTGGATTCACCAGAAGATTTCTGCATATACTAGGATCTTTGTACAAACTTGTACTGGCCCGTTGCACTAAGTTAAATAAAGCATATGCTGAGCTGTTCCTCTGCTTGTGCGAGACACTGTGTAAGCACTTTCTGGGCAATGTAACATACAGGTAGTAACATACAGGAAAGTACGAAGTGTTGCGTGAGGTT